CAAAAAAAAAAAAAAAAAAAAAAAAATGTGTAGTGATCCACAGTCTGATATCAATTATTAATTGTCATTAAAAAAAAAAAAAATTATTCTCTATGAAGAAGCGTATTAAAGAAATTCCGAATTCACTCTTCAGAATTAGTAATTAATAATTAAGAATTTCTTTATTAATTGTTAAATCTCACGAAAAGAGATAGAAACAGTTTACCGTGAGAAACTCGAAAAGATTCTTAAACGAACGAGGCATCGATCAGTCGCCATTTTGAATTTGCAGAAGCGGCCTCGGCGGACGTGGCTGGTAGCAAGACGAGCAGCGAGGCGGCGGATGTTTTCGGCGCGGCGAAATTCACACCGGCAACGACGGCATCGTCCACAGCGACCGGAGCGTCGTCCCCGTCGTGCGTCGACGTCAGGATGATGGTCGCCTCGAGCCACAACCTCGACGACCTCGGCGTGAATCATCCGGCCAGCGACCTCAGGAGCCAGCAACAGCAGGAGAAGCACGGCCACGCGTACAGGTCCGCTCAGACGGCCCAGGACAAGAGGAGCAGGCTCAGCAACGTGATAAACAATCTCAGGAAGAAGGTGCCCGACACGAGGGACTCGCCGAGGAAGGAGGACGACGACAGGAACAGCGTCGAGAGGAATCTCGAAACGCTGGAGAAGTATGTGATGACGGTGTTGAACGGAGTGATCAAGGACGAGGAGGACGACGACAGGGAGGCGTTGAACAAGAAGAAAGAGGCGAGCGAGAAGAGCAATGAGGCGGAGAAGCTTCCCGAGGACCAGGAGGACGAGGACTCCAAGGGTCCGGCGGCCAAGTTCGAGCCCTCGAAGCCCAACGAGAGCAGAACCGAGGCAGCTGTCGTCCCGTCGGAACAGCCTGACAAGCCGGAAGCGAAGGAGTCCCCCTTGGAGCGCCAGAAGGTGGACAAGACGGAGAGTTACCTGAAAAAAGAAGAGTTCAATCGTCAGGAGAGTATCAGCGAGGGTATCAGCCCCGAGGAGAAGGAGCCCGCCAAAGCGGACGAGGAGGTTCGCAGGTTCGACAGGTGTTCTTCCAAGGAGGCAAAGTCCGAGGAGCAGTCTGTCCACGAGACAGCGAGGAGCGACGAGGATGAGAGGAAAGAGAATCGTTCGTTGGGCACTATCATCATGGAGAGGCTGAGCGAAAGTCAGTCTGACGACAAGAGTAACGTCGATCTTGCCAGGGAGGACTGCAGAGAGCTAGTGCCTGACAACGTGGAGCTAAGGAACGTGTGCAGAGATCTGTTGAACGACCTTCTAAATGGCATCAATCAGCTGATCGACGAGAACAGCCAGGAGAAGGAGCAAACAAGGTCGTCGGAAAATTCGATGGATGAGTCCAGGGATTCAAGGACTCAGGAGTTCTCCATGACGAGCTTGCACTGCAGCCTACCCCTGGACAAGGTGGCTTCCGTGCTGCAGAACTGTCAGACCGCCGAGTTGGCTGTCCCGCAGTCGCCTTCCTCTTCCTCCTCCTCCTCCTCTTCTTCCTCTTCCTCGTCGTCTTCTTCTTCCTCTCAGGGCTCGAAATCTCCCTGCAAACCGCCCTCTCCGACAGTCAGGCATCTCTGTTTGTACTGCGACAGAAAGTTCATGTCGATATCGCTTAGGCAACGACACACCGAGAGAGTCCACCAACAGGGGGGTGGCAGGAGGTCGGAGAGGAACTCGAGGAAACCTTCACAAAACTGCCAGTACTGTTCTGACAAGTGTGCAGAGAGTCTGGAGGGACTGTTTCAGCACATGGTCGGCAGCCACGGGGACAAATACCATGGGTGTCTGCAGTGCTCGACCAGATACCTCACCAGGGAAGCACTGGCCGGCCACATGAGCGAGAATCACGGTGTCAGTGTGGAGAGGAACCTTCAGATTCAGGTAAATCAGGTGAATATTCTCGGACGTCTGCGCATTTGTCGGAAATTCAACGGCACGGCGTGTAAAAACACATAAACAACAACCCATCTGACACAGAAAAAGTTTTGAAAAAATGGCGACTTCATTCGATTTCAACGAGTCCAGCTCGAGCTTCTCGTTTCCTCTTGGCAATAAATTCAACTTTCCTCTTTACAGGAGAAAATGAAGGAACCCTCGCCTTGCAGCAAGGAGCAAGACAACCAAAGTCCCCGGGACACCGCGAACCCCAAAGAGAGAAGATCGGAAAGAGAGAACACGGACCACGAACATCGAACCGAACCTACTAACATCCTCCTGAAGCCGATGTATCCAGCGAAGGACAACTTCAGCAACCCGGGCAGCCCAGAGTTCGACAGTTCGTTCTACAGCAGCGTGAGCTGCAACATCCGCGAGAACCTGCTCCACCATTTAGACGGCAAGCTGCAGAGCTCCTCGTCGACAGTCACGTCCACCGGTTGTTCGTCCGCGATAGACACAAAGTCGCAACAGTCTCAGCAGTCCTTTTACGAGCACAACGTCAGCCAGATCCAGTTCCCCATAGATATCTCGCTGACGGCGGCAACGCCGGTTTACTCGAAAGAGTACAGCAACGAGGAGTACGAGAACAACAGCGAGTACGCGCAGAAACCCGGCAAGAGCAACAGGTCCCATCCGCGGAGAGTGTCGTTCGAGAAGTACAATTTCCCGCGGAAGTACGACGGGAAAGAGCAATGGACCTGCTCGATAAAGGACCTGAGCAAGTTCGACATCTCGACGCAGCTGTCCCTGAGGAAGAAGCAACAACTGTTGAAGGAGCACCTCAGTCTGAGCAGGTTGCAACAGATCACCGTCCTCGCTACCTCCGAGATGGCGCAGAACGAGCAGACTCTCGGCTCCAGGGATCTCGAGGAGGCGGCTGTCGAGGTTGACAAGCCTCTGGTAGCTGCGGACAGCCCGGTAGTTGAACAGGTTCTTACAGCCTCGGAAGGAAAATGTGACAGTCCCGACAGACAGGCAAGCGCGAAGCAGCTTCAGGAGACGGAGTTCACCGTGGAGTTTGGCAATTTCCTGAGGCTGAGGAAGTGGGACGAGACGACGACGTCCGAGGCGGCCAAGAAACAGGAGGCCGTCTACGCCGAGCTGACCGGGGAGTGGTCCAGACCGAGGGTCTACGTCTGCGGCACCTGCGCTTCCAAACACGTGAGTTCTCGATAATGATGTTTGGGAAAAATAAATGGCTACGTTCAGATAACGTGGTATAGGACACACGGAGCGTCCTGACGTTGAAATACAAAATGACCAATTCGTGGTCTTACTTTTTTGTATCGTGTAAATTTGTCAGGATCTGAAAGATTTATTGGAAATTTATCGAAAAACACGGTCCGAATGGACGAACATGGAGTTCGCAATGAAATTTGTAGAAAATTTGAAAATTACGTCTCTACTGTAATAATACTACGTATTCATAGCGTCTTCTGATTTATTTTGGAAACTTCCCGATCATTTATCTTGAGAAATTTGCTTCCATGGACGAACTCTTCAAAGTTAGATCTGGTCGCGAAGTTGACTCGTAGAAATGTCTCGACAGACACATAGATCAAGTTTATAAAAGACTCGAGACAGTCGGCCTTATCGACACGACGGCGTTCACGAGCGATTAGCTAATTAATCAGTCTACCTGATTGGTAACTATCGATCGGATTGAGCAGAGCAGTTGAACGGACACATCTCTTCATGTTGATTGACAATTAGCTGTCGTCGAACGAATCTCTGTTGATCGTCCGAGCGATATTACCGTCGAGTCCAAGTCCAATCGTAATAACCGTGCTCGCCGATCGTTATTATCGATTCAGCTAATTAGGACGTTGTCCCCGTGAGATTGGCCCGTGAACTAGAACTTTAGATCGACGCTCGAGATTAGTTCCCTAGAACCCTCTCGTACGTGGCTCGAAGCGTTGCAAGAAACGGGAGGAAAAGCAAAAATTAAACGCGCGAAATTTCATCTCGGCGAAAGGAATAATTTCCACGTGAA